TGTATATGATTTTAATAGGTATTCAGTATTTTAAAATTACTGAGATATTTCATTTTTTCTACCATTACTTCAAAACCCACTCTACAAGCACAGTAGAGCATTCCTATAATTCCTATAATAGAGCATTCCTAAAATTACTGAGATATTTCATTTTTTCTACCATTACTTCAAAACCCACTCTACAAGCACAGTAGAGCATTCCTATAATCCCAGCTAAACCCAGAAAACTAAAAACCCTGTCTAAAAATAAAAAGGGTTGGGTTGTAGCTCCGTGGCAGAGGACTGCCTGCTGTGACAAGTGTGAGTCCCACCAATCAGTACCACACACACACACAGTGGACTGCACACTGGTAGCACCTCTCACTTCAGTTTTTTATGGCCAACACCATGTCAGCTAGAGGCTACCATGCTGTACAGTGGTTCTGTAGCACAGGTCTATGATTCTGCCTCCTCACAGACTGAATGTTCTACCCTCAGCTTTTTTTTTGCGGAATCGGGGATTGAACTCAAGACCTTGTGCTTGCCAGGGAAGCGCTTATTCTACTGAGCCATCTCCCCAGCCCCTATGCCCTCAGTTTTTTCCTACCATTCTTTGCGAGCATACGTTTCAATTTCCCCCATTACCTTACATATGCTCTATAGCTTCCCAACATCGTATTATAGGAAGGATTTTTCTAATAGTATGACAACAACGCTGGGAGAAGGGTTTGAGACACTGTCTTAATATGCAGCCCAGACTGGCCTCAAACTCAAGGCAATCTTTAAGCCTCAGCCTCTGGAGTGCTGTGATGACATACATGTGCCACCACACCCAGCTGCACATTTCCGTATACACTGTTTAACTTATTTGAAGGTGGTTCTTTTTTGCAATAATTTTTAAATTGTGATCTTTGGATTCAGAATGATTCTAAAGTACTTAGTAAGACAACTGGTACTGTTATATCTAAGATGGACATGGACAAGGACTATGAGGAGAAAATAAATTAATAAGATGTGGTAGATTTTTGAAAAATGGCCAGAAGTATTTTTCTTGCTACAAATGGGTCATAGTTACTATATTTTAAAAAAAGGCACAGAAAAGGATAAAATAAAAATCACCTATACTATTATCACCTGGGGCAATTATTAGCAGATTTGCTTTTCAGACCAAGTTACCACTAAAAAGAGAAGTGTATGCCCTTCTCAATGCCCAGGACAAAATAAAGGCTCTGATGGCTAAGACTACAATGCTAAAAGTTGCCCACAACCACAAAGAGATCCGCATGTCATCCACCTTCTAGTGGCTCAAGACACTGTGTGGCCCTGGAGGTGCCCACATACCCCTGGAAAAACACCCTAGAAAAAATAAGATCAAGTACTGTGTTAGCCTTACGTTCCCTGACCACTGACAGATGAGACAACTGCGTATATTCAATGCGGGTCTCAAAGCTAACCAGGCTGTGGCAAACACTGAGGTGGCTAAGGGAAATACACTTATCAGGCCTCATGGGGAAAGAGGGCATTGGTTCAAATGGGGCCTAATGATGAGGCTTTGCTAACAAAACTAGGATCATCTAGGTCATTTGGTGGTATGGGAAGACAATCACAGGCCTCTATGAGGCAGAGGTTGGAGGATCACAAGTTTGAGCACAGCCTCAGCAATTTAATGACTTATGGAGATCCTGGCTAAAAGAATAAACACAGGTAAGGATGTAGCTCAGGGAGTAGGTCCTGGGTAGGGGAGATAGCTCAGCAGCATAAGCGTTCACCTGGCAAGCACAAGGTTCTGAGTTTAATCACCAAAAAAAAGAGAAGGTCCTGGGCTCAGTCCTCAGTGCCAAATAAATAAATAAATAAATAAACAAACAAACAAACAAGGACAATCTAAACTGAGTCCAGGGGGCTAAATACACATTTTTTGCACCTTTTAAAAAAGGGTACAGAAAATAATAAATTCATCCATAATATTTATACCTGAGATAAATGTTATTAACATTCTTGCAGGGACAACCTGCTCAGGCCCTCCTCCTGTTCCTCTCTCGGATAGGAGCTTTCTTTATCTCAATAAATCTATTCTGCCCATTAAAGAAAAAAAAAATTCTTGAGCCCAGCTAAATAATTTTATTTTAGCATATATATGCCTAATTTAGTAAAGAAAAAAGGGATACATTTTTGCATGAATTTTTTTTTTATCTATTATGATCCCAGTATCTTTCCAGCATCATTTTAATCCAGGGCCCTATACCATATAGTATGAATACAATTCTATTCTATTCTATTCTATTCTATTCTATTCTATTCTATTCTATAGATCTGATTTATTTTAATAAATTATCGCTGGCTCACTTAGGTTGTCTTCAATTCTTTTAAACATGAAACCACCTATTACTACGAAAAATAAATGTGTAGTTAAATCTCTGCATTTATTCATTCTACTTACCCAAATGTAACCTCCTATCAGTTAAGGACAGCTGGCACAAGCATGCCAGGCCCAGTTGACAGCTGAACTGAGGCACAAAAGCAACTCCAGGATGCCAGCAAAAGGGAAGCCAGGCACCATAACCAAAGCAGACCAAGAGTAGAAGCTGGTAAACCACAGCAATCATCACATATTTGTCCAAAAGAGGAAAGGAAAATGTATTCAAACCAAATCTTTTCCGCCAAGATGGGGAAGAAAACAAATGTGTACTTTCACCACTCGCATCTAAATAACAAGGAGGCCACATTCTCCTTGCTTGCGACAACATAACTTTATATATAGAAAAAAACCCTAACGATTACACCAAACAACTGTCAGAAATGATAAACTTGGTAAAGTTGCAGGATACAAATGAACACACAAAAATCAGCATTTTTATTTATCTATAGTGAAACTATTTAGAGGGTAATCAAGTCAGCAATTTCATTCATAAGATCTATAAAAATTAAAAATATCTATGAAAATTTTAATCCAAGGCAGTGAGTGATCTGTACAATAATTGTAAAAACTCTGATGAAAATCTGAGGTACAGGATCTCAGGATAAATCCTGAGGGCATTTCACTGACCTTCTCAGACCAAAAAGCTACAACTCTTGTTGCATAGGTCCTGCTTTACCTTGGTCTTAACCATCCAGTAGAAAAGTATGAAGATGAAATATAAGAAATAAAGTCATGCTGCTAAGTTGAGCTGTGGGGGACTCAGGTCAATAATTTCTGACATTGCCAGTTAAACAGAAGACCCAATGCTATTATGGGCTACTGGACTCTTTTAGAATATTTTGCTGAGTTTACACACCTATAATATTCAATAACGGAACTTAGAAAAAATGGGGTATACCTATGAATGTCCATTTTGTATCTGTGCATTCAAAGTGGCTGGGATAGATATATAGTTGCATTCTCTTAATGAATAGAATGATTTGTTCTAATGGTGTTTGTAAATAGGATCACAAGTCCGCATCTTGTACAGCAATTAACCACTAAGAAGAATATATGCAGTGTATTATTTGTTGAAACTGTACTTCCAATTTGATTTGAAACTGTCTCATTGCTATCTGTTTATCAATAAAACTTTGAAAAAAAAAAACTCTGATGAAAAAATTGCAAAATGATCCCATCTCACCCCTCAGATAGAAAGAATGCACCATATTCATAAGTGAGAATACTGTTAAAATCTCTGTACTGCCTAAAGTAGTCTACAGACTCAATGCAATTCCTATCAAAATATCAATGACATTCTTTACATAAATAGAAAAAACAAAACAAAGCAAAAAAACCCCAAAACCTCTAAAAACCTGAACAGGGGCTGGGGAGTTAGCTCACTGGTTTAAGCGCCTGCCTGGGAAGCACAATGTCCTAAGTTGATTGTCATTACCAAAAACCCAAAAAACAAACAACAACAAAACAAAAAACAAAAAACAAACAAACAAAAAAACCCTACCAGAAATCAAAAAGACTTCAAATACCCAAAACAATCCTGAGCAAAGAGAACAAAGCCAGAGGCACTACAACACCTATATAACTACTCTCAAAAAATAGCATGACCACAGGAAAACAGCCACAGATCAATGACTAGAATAGAAAAACTCTGGCTGATAGCCAAATGATTTTCTTTTCTTTTTCCCATTTTTGGTATGGGGGTGGAATCTAGGGCCTATACATGATAGGCAAGCTTTCTACCAATTGTCTCCATTCTGAGCTCCTTATTCAAAAATTTCATTTTGAGATGAGTCTCCTTACCTGGCCCAGACTGTCACTGAACTTGAGCTGCCTTAGCCTCCCAAACTGGATTGGATTACACATGTGTACCATCATCCAGCTCAGCCAGACCAATAGGGAAAGAGAAAGAAATAAAGGGTATCTAAATAAGAAAGGAGGGCACATTATCGCTGCTTGCACACAACGTAGCTTTATATACAGAAAAAACCCTAAGGATTCCACCAAACATCTGTCAGAAATGATAAATTTAATAAAATTGCAGGATACAAATGAACATACATTCCATGGCTGAGCTGGCTGGTTGACAAAGCCAGCAATAACTAACGTACATTGGAAAGAAAGTCACTTAAACACAGAATCCACAGATAGAATGTCTTTTCCTAATGATACTGCAGACAGCTAAGTCAGGTAGAGATTGATAAGTTAGCAACCAGGCTGAAGACAGAGTCAGAGCAGTGATGAGGCAAACCAGGCCTACAGTCAAGGGCTGAGGTGCTGGAGCCCTCAAGATGGAGACACAAATGGATAGACCTGCAGCCTTCCCAGAGATAAACAGTCAAAGCTGCCTACAACTAGCACCGCTGAGTCCTATAACCCTGAACAACATAGTGAACATGCAGAGATGACCCTCATCCTCCCCTTCCACAAAAGCCTGTTCTCCACCTTGTGTACCCTGGCTACCTGCCCTATCTTCTATTAGGTCAATATTAGCTAAGTGATTGCACTTATTCTCCCAGTTGATTATACCTGGCCTCAAGATAAGCTTTGATGTGACTGTGCTGTGTAAAACTCCCCTATTCAAAGAGCATCAGTGGCAACTCACCTCCAGGACCTCTCTTGGCTCTTAGGAGCTTTCTCTCAATACAACTTCCCTGCTCTTCCATTCTTTGGCTCCAGAGATGTGAACTGGCACGTCTAGCAGACCAGGAGTTACTGTCCTGTTAACAACAGCACTGAGATGACAACATCTGCCTTCCTTACTAATAGAACAGTATAAGAGCCATGATGCTAGTCTGCTGTACAAGCTGACTAGAGCTCCAAGCAATACTAGTAATTTCCATTTTCATCCTACCATGCACTCAGAGATAAAAAGCCAGTTTTGCGTAAGGATGGCCTATAAAATCTGTAAGAAGTCTTTTCTTTAAACTCAATCATTAAGTAGATTTTTAACTAGTCTCTGTGTTGAGAATGGGGATACTCATAAAGCACTTTTATTGCACACTGAAGTACAAAGGTTATCCTGATAAGCATTATTTAACTTAGCAGCTACAAGCTGTTTTGTGGGGGAAAAAATCTGCACATAGAATATAAAACATAAAATATATCATCACCAAACCATTTCATACCAGACATACAAGGTACCACTTTAACATTTAGTGTAACTCATTATACTCACAGACAAAAATATCCTACATAATCACTTCAACAGACAGAACATGAATTAGATAAAGCTCAATATTCACTCCTTTTCTTTTTTTTGAGTTTTGAGACAGGGTCTCACTATGCAGTTCAGGCTAGCCTTGAATTCACAGTGATCCTCCTGCTTCAACCTCCCAAGTGTCTCACTCTCTCAAGGTGTGCACACACCACACGTGGCCAATATTCATAATAAAAAATAATAAACTCAAAAGCTGTAAACAAAAGGAAACTTTATAAATATGTGTTTTTTGGGCAGTGCTCAGCATCCCTCACAAAGCCTCACATATTCCAGGCAAGTGCTCTTTGCCACTGAGATAAACCTCGGCCTCTAGAAAGAATCTTTCTTTTTTTTTTTTTTTTGATATTTAAAACCTTTGCAATTAGTTTATTAGTATCATCCAGGACTCAGATGTTCAGTACTCCTCCTGAAATTACATAAACAAATGCAAATGGAAAGAATCCAAGTTAAAATTATATAACAAAACAGCAATCCATCACAAAAGCGTGTAAAATCACAAGAACCCTATTTTAAAACACTGGCACTTTAAGAGTGATAATCTCAAAGCCCACAAAATAGCCGAATTTTTCCTTAAACTGCTAAGCAGACAAACATGACTCTAATAGTTTTGTAGAGGAAAACGCAAATAAATTGGGTAATCCATACTTAAGATGTGAAACTTTTCTTCTAAATGGGAGACCCTAATATAGAAAATCTATCCTTTTCTAATTTGTGGCCTAACTTTAAAACTTTTACGAGTCAAGTTTCCTGAGCAGTCCATATTTAGATAAATGGGTAAAGGCATACACACCAGCACTTTTGCTGCCTTCACTGTGATTGCTAACCAAAAATGGGAGTCCTGTATTTTAAGCTCACGCTTTTGGGGATATGTTCCTGGGCCTCCTTTAATGTTGGAACTGCACAATATAACTGCCATTACATGGTAATGGGAGTTAAGAGTCCTCATGTAAAGATCAGAACATTATTTTTTTTCTATCAGTCCTTCAAGGACAGACTTTCAGATTGCTTGATTCTAATAATCTCATGCTATCTATGAAGAAAATTACTCTTTAAAAGGGCTATGTGAACTTTATTAATAAGTGAGTTTAGAGTTTTATGGATGAAAATGTTCTCAATTTGACTTTTATTACCCCATCGCGGTATGCAGGGCGTGTAGACAGAAGCTTGGCATCCACTAACTATATGAAAAGATAAACACTAATAATTCATGTGATTCAAAAATGGGCAAAAGCAAAAGACTAGCTTCCTTTCAAGAAGTTTCAGACCTATGAAAAGGACAACAATACTAATAAAAAAAATTGTATTTACTTAGAAGCATTCAGAATATCAACAAAACAGTTGCAACTTTTTTTGCAATTGCAGAGTGGTATTCAGTTAACAGAACAACAATTATTTCGTATAAGCTGCATCAGAGACAACTGAAGATAAAAACTACCATCCCCATATGTAACTAATTTGTGCTGTGCACCAACAAGAACCTGCTTTAAATTTCCATGCCAATTTACAACCCCCATACTGTACCAGGCAAGGTTAGTGGCTACTGAAAATACCACCAGGACAGGGCTATCTAAAGACACATTCGGTAGAGTGTTAACTATACAAAAAAAAAGACACTGTACAGTTTAAAAACAAATCTTACACAGCCTTACATTTCAATTTTTTTTTCTTCAAAAGGAGTGAGTTGTGTACAGGGGAGTTAAATGCTTTAGAGACAAGAAAAAAAATTGCGCTAGAACCAACTTATTCATCATCATCCTCTTCATCCTCCTCATCCTCTTCTTCATCTTCTTCCTCTTCATCCTCATCTTCCTCCTCCTCCTCTTGCTTCTTTTTCTTGCTTTTTTCAGCCTTCACGACTCCCTTTTTTGCTGTATCAGGTTTTCCTTTAGCCCGGTAGGCAGCGATGTCCTTTTCATACTTCTCCTTCAGCTTAGCAGCCTTCTTCTCATAGGGCTGCTTATCATCTGCTGCAGTATTATTCCACATTTCTCCAAGTTTCTTTGCAACATCACCGATGGAGAGCCCAGGATGTTCTCCTTTGATTTTTGGGCGACACTCAGAACAGAACAAGAAGAAAGCCGAAGGAGGCCTCTTGGAAGCATTGGGATCTTTGAACTTTTTTGTTTCTCCTTTAGGAGGAATATAAGTTTTCATTTCTCTTTCATAACGAGCCTTGTCCGCCTTTGCCATATCTTCAAATTTTCCTTTTTCTTTAGCAGACATGGTCTTCCACCTCTCTGAGCACTTCTTAGAAAACTCTGAGAATTTAACGGAAGCATCTGGGTGCTTCTTCTTGTGCTCCTCTTGGCAAATTTGCACAAAGAATGCATATGATGACATCTTGCCTCTCAGCTTCTTAGGATCTCCTCTGCCCATGTTTACTTGTTTTCTTCAGCGAGGTACAGAGTCGCCCAGGGCCCATCCGGCTCTCACTTGCCCCGGCACTGTCTCTATGGAGCTCAATGTGCTGCAATCTAGAAAGAATCTTTCTTAATGAAAGAAGTATCTACTAGTCAGTTACAGCAGATATACTTAATGCTAAGGAACACAAGATTTCTTAACTTAGGAAGCAAGATGCTCTCTGTCACCATTCCTGTTCAACAATGCACAGGACATTCTGTAACCTAGAAGAAAGAGAGAAGTAGCCCAGACTGGATAGGAGAAATAAAATTCCTTTATTTACAGAATGACATGAATGCTCAGAAAATAAAAAGATGGGGGAAATGGACAAAGGAAGCAACCCACAGAGTTCCCAATGGCCAAAGCGAGAATAATGGGAACAAGAGATAAACAACAGCACTGGGAATAATCCAGAAAATAAAAGAGGTATTTGTGAGTTCATAATACAGCCATACAATGACTGATAATACAGTCATAAAGTTTAAAATGGGACTAATAGAAATTAGTAATGCAGGAGTAAAAGAAAAATAACCATTAGAATTCTACAGTAATAATTGCTTTTTTAGTGGAAAGCCTGGTAAATTCAAAGACAAATTTGTGATTTAGTTAGTTGTACTAATTTTCTGGTTTTGTTAGTTATCTTTAAACTTGAATAAAAGTGACTGCAATTTCTGCATCTTTGTAAGATTTCCATAAATCTAAAATTGTTGCAAAATAAAGTTTTTAAGCATTAACTAGAAAAATAAATCTCAGCTGGAAATGACCTCATAAAGTGAGTGTATGTTTTAGACAAATGATTACACCAAAGAAAGGCAAAGTAATTTTCCTAAAAAGCAAATCCGATCATTATTTTGGTTGCTTTTTTAAAAATTTCTTGCTGTGCTGTTCAGGCTGGCCTCAAACTTGCAGCAATCCTCCTGCCTTAGTATTCCAAGTGCTCAAATTACACAAGTGACAGTGTATCAGCATGATCTTAACTTTTTTTTTTTTTTTTTTGCGGAACCGGGGATTGAACTCAGGCCTTTGCACTTGCCACACAAGTGCTTATTCCACTGAGCCATCTCCCTCGTCCCTTAACTTCTTATTTAAAGCTTTTAAATGGTTCCTTTTGCTACTCGGAAACTTTGCATTCATTAACACACCCATAAAACAATGTCCACACCCTAATCTCTAGAATCTGGATGTAAAATTACATAGCGAAGGTGGATTAAGGTTCTAGATAAAGATGTCATTAATGTTTTTAATTAACTGACCTTAACATAGATCTAAGCATGATACCCCAGGCACTTAAGTCCAACAATGTTGGAGACTGTGGCAGGAGGGTCACAAGTTCAAGACCAACTGGGGCAAGCTAAAGAAACTGGAGGGGCGGGGGTTAAGGAAGTGGTTCAATATTAAGGCTCTGGGTTCAATCTCAAATAACACAAAAATAAACAAAAATACAAGTGAGGAAAATATACAAAGAGAAAAGCTTATCCTTGATGGCCCAGGTGGGCCCGACACAATCACAAAGGCCCTTAAAGTAGAAAGGAGTGGCAGGAGGGAGCAAGTGGGAGACATCAGCCCAGCAGAACCTCAGAAGATAGCACAGGAGATCTGACAGGAGCCAAGGATGCAGGCAGCCTTGGAAGGCGAGGAAGGCAAAGCTGCACCTCCCAGGGCAGCTGCAGGTCCCCTGCCTTCAGCCCAGGTAGCTGGACTTCTTACCCGTGGATAACAAATGTTGGCTGCCTTCAGCCACTAGTTTAATACTGTAATACATGTGCTCAAAGTTTCTTTCAAGAATACCACTGAAGTGGCTCAGTGTGACAAAACAACTAAGCCGCCAAGTGTGGCACATGCCTATAATCTCAGTTCCTTAGGAGACTGAGGCAGGAGGAAGGCACGTTTCAGGTCAGCTGGGGCAACCTGGACCTTCTTCAAAACAAACATCTGCCTGGCATGCAGGGAGCATGGGTTAATACCCAGCACAAGCTTTACAAAGACTGCAAATCAGCACTCCACACGCATTCAGGGCTATGCTTCCTTATGTGTGAATCCTCACAGGGGCTCTAACCTCTACATGGA